GAATGGTTCGATTCGTGTGCCATGTGAAAGAATAATTTATTGTAATCAATTCATTGCCACAACATCACATGCTTAAATAACATTTCACGTAAGGGACATATTGACACGTTCTATCTTTACCTTGCTTGTGCTCTCTGATCCACGTGTTTCTCCATAAGTTTGTCTCTCAATGCAATCCCATGCCTTCATTCAGCAGTGAATACATTTAGGCTGATAATTATGAGGAATTATCTGCAGGGGCTGTGAATTATCATTTACTGTGTACCTGTATATATTAAAAACAACCTTGTCAGCTTGTTAACTTCCAGCAGCAACAACACTTCACTGACACATCCACCACCACGACTGGAATAAATAAATAAACGATACACTGCGTACGAGGCGTATTTTCCATTTTTCCATTTATTTGGTATAGCCCTGTGAGCATTCGGCTCTTGAATCGGGTGCAACCGCAACAAACAAAAAACATGAACAAGAAAACATCTTAAAGTGACTATGTGACTGTGCAAACAGAAAATCCAGAAAAAAAACATCAAAATATTCCTGAAATAGCACCGTACACCAACGCTGTGTGCAAAATTCCCAGTGGGATGCAAGTCAAAAAACAACAACAACCACAAGACAACTAAGATTAAGGCCATCAGTCTAACTCCGTACTACAATAAACAAAAACATGGCCAAAACAAAAAAACTTTTCGAAATCACCAAAATAAAGCCATAAATGCAATGTAACAGTGATCATAGGGACTGTGGCCGAATTTTTAACAATAAACTACATAAATAACATGTAACACCAAACCCTAGAGCCATAGCTGGCTGCATGAGTCACTCCACAACAACAGGAGCATCAGTCGGAGTATCACATTTTTCAATGCACCTTTAAGATCAGCACACTAAATCAAAATACAGTTAATACTTTGCAGCGGTCATCCGGAGCGAAACATTTTATTTTATTTTAGGCCACTGAATAGCAGTGGCGTCTAGGGGTGTACAACTCCTCTAGAGCAGTTTTGAGTTAAGATCTCATAGGTAGTGATTCAAGTTGCAGTTTATTGGAAATAGCATTCCAGACCCTGCATGGGGGCATCAATAGCAAAGGCCCTTCCTCCGGTTTTTGTACGGCAATATGGAATGTGAAGCTGGTAAATGAGCGAAGACCTGAGGTCAAATTTGTTCTTTCAAACAGAGAAGAGATCCAACAGGTAGTCTACGGATTTTTTTGTAAGTACATCGTGAATAAATAAGATCTGGTGCACAAGCCGTCGAACATTAAGAGATGTTAAGTTTGACCCAATGTTCAATGCAAATCTTAAGGCCGAGTGATAGAGGGAATCAAGCTTCTTCAGTACATTACTTGAGGCTGATTTATACACGATATCACAGTAATCAAGTAGAGGCAGTATGGTAGCTTTTATCAATTCCAAACGGAACATAGGGGGGAAGCAGTGCTTGTGTCGATACAGAAAACCTATTTTTATTTTTGTCTTTTTACCAATATAATCAATAAATAAAATAATGATAAACTCACTGCTAGAAATAGCAGTGATGGTACAACCGTTGTGTGCGTTCTACTAACCCTCAACGACGCAGAGGCCTCACAAGCGACCGCACCACAACCACCATCAGCCAAGCTTTATCCACTTCTCGATAGTGGTCGTCATCTCTCTCTCTCGGTTTCGTGATGCAACAATCTGTTGCCCTCCCACACCTCCCTCCACAAAGACAGACAAATACAAAGATCTCCCGTGTAGCCTTAACAGACTGTTGGGGCAAGTGCTGTTCGCGAGCGCATACGAAGGCCGGCACGGCGCGCGAGGGGTCGGGTGGCCAGCACCACGCCCGGCCTCCTTTGTCTCCCTCGTGATTTTGTTTACACACGCGGATAATTGGAATTCATTTCACGAACAACCCCGCGGATAACGGGATCTGCGGTTTTCACTCCCCCCCCCCCCCCCCACATCACCGCGGGTCACAGGAGTTTTCCTGTTACACACTGGAGCGTGTGCGCGCCACGGTGTGTCAAACCACGTCCTGCTCACCCACACCATTGATACAATTTGCACTGAGAATCTGACAGCCATGTCCTACCAGCACCACCGTTCTCCCCAGGGCCCTACACGCCCCCCCCCGCCACAACCATCCCGATTACACCACCCCCCTCTCCTCTCTTCACCACCATCTAGCCCTGACCCCGCATCCTTCCCACGCGCGTGCGTGTGTGGGGTGTGCGCGCGTGTCCCTGGGGGAGCGGTGGTGGAGTCGTTCGCGCACAGAGCCACGGACATCCTGGGGTTCGTTTCCCGACCACCGCTAACCCATCGCTGGCGAGTGGTATCGGAACCGGCCGTGGGCTTCCCCTAGGTCGACTCAGACTTTTAAAACGAGTGCCTGTTGTGCTGTTTGGTTCTTTCGGTAAAGTCATGTAGAAAATAGAATCAAATAATAATAGAATACGACGTTTCGGTTGCAACACGAGCAGCCATCATCAGGTAAGAATGAATGATAAAACGGAAACAACATAGACAGACACACATGCAGAGACACACCGGGCGAAACTGTATCAGCATGGGCCCTCTCGTGCGTGGCCCCTGCCAGCACCACACACTCGAGTGACCTACCGGCCTAAATAGGTGCTCGCTAACAGCACTTACTTGTCCCACCACTCTATGGGCAGGCGAAACGGGGGATCTTTGTCTTTGTGCGTTCATGAATGTGTCCCTTTGGCGAGCCAGTGACTCGCCATTCCCTCCGCAGTAACATATTCATTTAATTTGCTATCAATAAAAAATCAATGCCATTGTAATGGCTTGCAGCACTTAAGAGCAGTGCATACACAGCAGCACGGTGCTTGTCATAGACTCGCGCTTGCATTAAATACACACGCACTGACAGATGAAACCATTACATTACACCAATGCGCGATAAACTCCAAACTCATCGAAGCAGAACTCAATTCCCGTCTCTCCGCATGTAAACAGCCGATGCGTTTTAGTCCTCCATCGCATGGGGCGCGCGGAGCCATCAACACCGGTGACGATTTATCTGCACCGGTCTTGGGCTTTCCACTCCTAGGTCGACTCGGCCTCAAGTGAGTACCTGCTGCGGTGTGTAGTAAACATCGCCACCGGGGAGATAAAGATGACCGGGCGTGGTTTGCTGGCCACCCACCCACCCCCCAAACCTCCTGTTCCCTGCCGGCCTTCATAGGTGCTCGCTAACAGCACTTGCCCCAAACAGTCGGTTAAAATCTTGATTTGAAGCTTTCGTGACTGCAGGGATTCATATTCTTCGGTTCGTTCGGTAAAGTCACGCAGTCAGAAAAATAATAAAATATTTTATTTTAATAAAATCTTTTATTTTATTGAGAGTCTGTTAAAAGGCTACACGGGGGGAGGGGAGGGGGGAGGATTTTTTTGTCTTTGTGTGCCCGAATGCATCGGAGCGTGTGCGCACGTGTCTCTCTGTACGTGCGCGTATGTCTTTGTATGCGTGAGTCGTAACGTATTGGCCGGAGAAGACTTTGCACATGTGCCGAGTCTGGTGCCTGTGCGCGTATTCATTTGAGCGGTGGTGTATCGGCGAGCGCGCTGCGTTGCGAACCTAGCGGACCTGAGTTCCATTCCCCACCGGCGGCGATTATCTGAGCCAGTCATGGATGGGGTTTCTCCGTGGTCCATTCATCCTCGAATGAATATCTGGTGCGGTGCGTAAACATCGCCCCACTGGGGAGACAAAGGGGACCGGGCGTGGTCCTCTGGCCACCCACCACCCCTTCGTGTGCCGTGCCGGCCTTCATAGGTGCTCGCTAACAGCACTTACCTCTAACAGTGTGTTACAGGCGACACGGGGGGAGCGGTAGTGTAGCGCCAAACGCGTTGCGCTACGAACCCGCCGTCCCAGGTTGGATTCTCGCTCACGGTCAACATCGGTGACGAATACTGTTTCTGAACCGTTCCTACCCACGCCTAGGTCGACTCGGCCTTAAATGAGTACCTGGTGCGGTGATGTAAACAATGTGGGGGTGCAATCGGAACTGTGGAGACAAAGATAGCTCGCTGGGCCTTGTGTTGACCACCAACCCCCTTAGGTGCTCGCTAACATCACTTGTCTGTTCAGGATGCACGGGAAGGCATTGTACACACATCCATGTGTGTGTCAATCCCACGTGTGTGCGGTGTGCGTCCATAATCCCTGCGCGCGTGACAATGCCCCCTGCGTGTGTGTGCGCGTCCACGTGTGTCAATCCGTGTGTGTGTGTGGTGTGTGCGCGTCCACGTGTGTGTCAATCCGTGTGTGTGTGTGGTGTGTGCGCGTCCACGTGTGTCAATCCGTGTGTGTGTGTGGTGTGTGCGCGTCCACGTGTGTGTCAATCCGTGTGTGTGTGTGGTGTGTGCGCGTCCACGTGTGTGTCAATCCGTGTGTGTGTGTGCGGTGTGTGTGCGCGTTCACGTGTGTGTCAATCCGTGTGTGTGTATGCGGTGTGTGCGCGTCCACGTGTGTGTCAATCCGTGTGTGTGTGTGCGGTGTGTGTGCGCGTCCACGTGTGTGTCAATCAGTGTGTGTGTGCGGTGTGTGTGCGCGTCCACGTGTGTGTCAATCAGTATGTGTATGCGGTGTGTGCGCGTCCACGTGTGTGTCAATCCGTGTGTGTATGTGGTGTGTGCGCGTCCACGTGTGTGTCAATCCGTGTGTGTGTGCGGCGTGTGTGCGCGTCCACGTGTGTGTCAATCCGTGCGTGTGCGCATCCACGTGCACGCGCCGCGTGTTCCCATCCTCTTTATTCTTTTCCCCAACGTCAGCGCGGCCCGCGGGTGTTCCGGTGGGAATGCTTCCCTTCCTGTTTATTACTGCGTGAACGTTGGGCTCCTATTCCCCCCCCCCCCCTTCTCTTCCATACACACGCGCGCGCACACACACCTGGCCACATCCCTCTCTCCATCTCTCCCCGTCTCGCCCGGCTCTCTCACCCCTCCACCACCACCACCAGCTCTCCCAGCTCACGCCTCTTCTCTCTCTCTCTCTCATTCTGTGTTCTCCCTGCCTCTCGCGCCCACACGTGCTGCTGCTGCTGCTGACGGGTCGTGCTCGTCGTCGTGCTGCTTGCTGGTGGTGGGTGGTGTTTATGTCGCCGCCGACGCTACCGCTACTGTCGGACGCAATGTCGCATCCGGAGAAACGGACTGCGGGAAGGTTCTAGGATCTAGGGGAGAGGCGTCGAGCGCTGGCAACGCGTGCGCTCCCGAGCTAAATAGCAGCAGCAGCGTTGATTGTTAGCGGGGTGGGAGCAGGCGGGGAGGTCTGCATGCATGGTCGGGGTTGCCTGCCCTTGCTATCCGACGAGCGTGCGTGGGGGTGGCGGTGTTTTGCCGAGGTGGTGGTGGGGACCACCCAAATTGTCGTCGGTTCGGAGGCAACCGAACCCGCCTCCGAAACACATCTTGTTGTTATCGGGCTTGATCTCGCATCAGCTCGGGACGACTCTCAACCGGCGACACTTTCCACCTTGCCGTCTCTTCTCTGGCCGGGATCGTCTCCATCGCCTCGTCCGCTTCTCCGCAGCTGCCTCGAAACGGCCTCCTCCGTCTCCACCTCCTCATCCTCCCTACCCGGGCCCCTCAATAACCCGGCGGGTGTCGACTCCCCACCATGCCCCCAAGCCCTGCCTGCCCGACCCTGCCTGGACCCGGCAGCAGTGGCGGCACTCAGGACCCCCATGGGCCAGACCCCCAACATCACCTCCACCACCATCACCATCTTCACAGCCATCACCTCCACGCCACCGGGACCGTGCTGCCCAGTGGCACCCGGGTGGAGACGAGTAGCCTGGCCTGGGTCCGGGAGCAGCGCTCCAGGGCTCGGCTCATGCTCATCCTTGGAGTGGCTCAGATGGTCCTCGGGGCCCTCATTGTTACCGTGAGCTTCGCTGCCCTGGCCCTCACCAGCTCGGCCCGGATCCGCCACTCGTGCCCTTTCTGGGCTGGCTTCTCGGTAAGTTCACGCGGTCGCTTTTGGCGAGTGGCTGCACTTACGAAAACCTTCGATTGCACTATCGTCACTCGGAAGACTCAGAATATTTACTTATCCTGGAGAGGAATCCGATGAGCTATAAAGCTCTTGTCCAGTAATCCCGTGATTATTATCGTCACGATCACCATAAACTGTTTTGCCAGATCCAACCCATTCCATACATTAGCAGCATCGTCGTCGTCATCATCATCAACTGCTGTGCTTGCAATTTCAACAGCTCACTGAGATACCAGATCTCTGCTTGTTAGGGGATTATTGGTCAGGCACAAGGTATACGATCGTAAGTCATTCGTACGGCGTTAATAATGTATAATTGTAATCACAATTTGACGTATAGACATTTAAAGACGGCTGCGACAGCAGAAACATCACCGAGACAACCAGGATCCGATCCTTGCTGGCACACAGATCTCGGAAAATATTTTTTTTTTGTAGGGGGAGCAGAAAAAGGCTTGTGGTTAGTAAAAAAAATACAACTCTGGGATTACAATGCAATTCCGTAAACAAAAAGGGAGGTGGCGGTTTTAGCAGCACACGTCCACTCCCGTGATGTGTTATCTCTTCTAGACGGTCCTCTCAATCTGTAAGCTGTAGTCGTGAGCACCCATCCACAGGGCCCACTCGTACGCCCCTTAAGGCTGCCTCCACTCAGCTTGTTTCATGAGGACATTCCCCCCCCCCCTTTCTTAGAGTGGCCTCTGTACGCAGATCCCGTTTCCTGATAAAAGCCGGATCTCGCGTGACACGTCCGTCCTTGGGTTCTCTGTGGGGCACTTGAAGGCCATGTACAATACAGTAGTCGATGCTCGGATTGCTTTGGGTAGAGAATGTTAGCTGGTAAGGTAAGAGCCAAGGTTACATCTGTAAAACACATGCGATCTTAAATTACGGTACGCTTCATATTAAACTGTGTAATAAAAAAAAATGTTTCAGCCATTTTCAATGCACCAATGGATGAAGGCCTTCCCACTCCATGCCAGTTATGGAGTGTGATTTATTTGTCCCATACTTCACCTCGCTGGTCAGTGTAGTTTGGTAAAGGTGGGGTAGAGCATGGAACCAGAACCGATTCCGATATCACTCGTCAATGGGATAATATCGCTTGCCACTGGGATATCACTTGCCACTGTGGCCAGGATTCGAACTCGGGTAGCCGGGTTCAAATAGCGCAGCGTATAACTACTGTACCACCCACCGCTCCTCCACCCTTTGAATTCTAAATTGCACTGCCTCATTTTGCTTGCATAGGATTCCACAGCCCATTTGCTTTGTGCTGTGATCACCCATGCAACAAAAGAGCCGCTATAATACGTTTCATATTTTTTCTCAGGGGCTCAAACTATTTTCGGGCTTTGTGGTCCCACTTAAAAATGTATCTGCCGTTACATCACATTGTGTTCCGAGAGGCCGCTGTGACAATATCCTTTGAGGCTGGTGCACAGGGGTAGCCCACATTAAAAGCCAAAACGTGATGCATTAATCATCATGACTCGGTCCCACATGCTTCAGCAGCTGAGTCTGCCAAGAGTGAAGCAATCATTTCACGCCATACCGTGTCCATAGAAATGTGGCCAAGGTAACCCACGTTGACATTAGACCGGCGTTAAGCGCTTGACCATAGGCACCGTGGTTATTCATTTTTAATAATACTGAAAATACCGCAGGCAGCGGTGGGCTGACAAAAGGGACACGCATTGCTTTTGTTGAATGGCAGACACACCACTGGGGTATATGTCAAGTGTTGCTGTGCATATAATGCACACAGAAGTCATCCCATTTACAATGTTTTTTTTGTGTGCAAAGACCGGACAAGGGTATAAGGGGCCGTGATGCTGCCAAAACCATTAGCATCATTGCTGAATAGCACACAAAGGGCTTCATAGCAGATGTTGGTGCAGCACTGCATTGTATTATCAACGCCAAGCTGATTATGGACACGTTACATTGGGAAAGCCAATGTGTAAATGCACGTACGGTATTTAACATTCACTGACCAGCGTCATGTGTGAACAGGGCCTTATTCTTAACCGCCAGAGCAGTCCGGGGCTGAGTTGCAGAAAATACAACCAACCTCCCTCCCCTCCTAGCTTGTCAAAAGGTGGGGGGGGGGGGGGCAGTTGGGGGGGGGCAGAATATATTCCTTGAGAAATGAAGCCTTAAGCCGTGTGTTTGAGTGTGACGGGGTATGAAGTCGAGTGTTTCTGGGCTTTGAGTGATCTCTCTTATTGGTGTCCTTTGTAGGGTGTGAAAGGCGAAGTCGACTCGACACCATCTTTCCTCTTTTTGCCAAACGTGGCTCTTTTTTGTTTGTTTGTTACCAACGCTGCCGACCTTTGTGGGTGCTGGGGGTCCAAGGCAGCCACGGATAATTCTGCTCAGATCAGTCCCCATTGACAATGGATGGATGAGACTTGAATACAAACGAAAACAAGTAAAAAAAAACACCCGTCCATGACATTAACAATCCAGTGAGCACACAGTAACTTGCAATAATGTGTGGACTTTAATGTACAGCCTACGTGTCAATCCCACTGCTGGATGATCTGGGCCACCCTGTACGCTGTGCACACAGGGTCATTTGTATGTATGTAGCACTTCTTTCGCACCGTACGTAGCCAACATTGCGAATCAGAGGTTGTGGACCATATTTGACCATACTTCACCACGTTGGTCAGTACGAGTGGGGTGAAGTTTGGGGTGTGGGGGGAGGGGTAGTATAGAACAACAATGCAATTTACTGCGCTGCACTCTACTGCCCACGGTTCCTACCACACCTGGCATATGTGCGTGGTGGTTACCCATCCATGCGTTAGCTCCGGGCTCAACCCTGGTTAGTTTTTCCGAGGCCTGATGAGATCTGGCGCTTACCACCGGGTGATCTGTTCCTAGACGGCTGTAGGAGTGTGTGTGTGTGCGTTGTGTGTAATGATGGTTGTAAGTTTGCGTGGTAATATCCGAAAACAGGAAATCCCGACTCTTCCGTAGGTGTGTTTACATCCCCCCTCCCCCCAGTTAAGGAGAACTTGTACAAAGACAATAGCGGTGTGTGACACCCCCTAAAACTGTGAAGTATTCTTTGTGCAACAGCAAAGTTTAACTTCGACACGTTATTATTGTTATAATAATATGAAAAAGTTACAGCCCCTTTGTCTAGAACACTGCCGTGGTGTACGCTCATTGTTTTTTGCCATGCCGTAACAGGGCACAGTAAATAAACATTGGGGGAGTGGTGGCACAGTTGTTAGCGTACTGCGCTAATTAACATCAGTGGTAATTGTTGTCTAAACCCGTCATGCCCCCCCACCCTTCAACCAACCCCATTGATGAGCATGGTGAAGTATGTTCAGCTATTTCCCTTAACTGATGTTGCGTGAGGAAGCTTTGATCCAATAGTGGATTGACAAAAGGTCTGTTAATTATTTTATTCAATATGCCACAACATGTGCGGTGACTATACTGTGCTTGGCATTGCTATACCATTTCCTATTACTAGATATATGTTGTCATAGGGTAATTTGTAAACGTATAATTATTACAGTGTGACATTCATTTTAGTCATTAAGCTTCTTGCCATAGGAATGTGGAATTTCCACCATTAGCTTAGCATAAGCAATGGAGACGTGCACTTTCCCCGGCTCATTTGGGCAGTGGTATGACATTTCACGACCATATTTCAGGCCATCCGCAAACACAGTGTTGCACACTACGAGAGACACAATTCGTCATCATTGTAATCACTCTCACTTTGGTTCTATGTGTATATGTAGGACCCACCTGCTGTTTTCTCTCCGATGCTCTGTGTCCTGCCAGGGCGCTCTACGGTGGTGAGATGTTAACTCCCTCGCCTGGTATGAAGGAGGTCGTGGGTTTGATCCCGACCCTGACACCTGTATATTTTGAGTTTGCATGTTCTCCCCGTGGTCGTGTGGATTTTTCTTGAGGACCTCTGGGTTTTCCCTCCACATTTAGAATCAATATGCGTTAGAGTATTTGGCTACTATGCATTTCCACATGACAAGGCACTTAATTGGGCTATCATTTGTGGCCAGGTCGCTTCTGAAAAAGAGGTAATAGCTCAATGGATCTTACCTGGTAAAATGAAAAAAAAAAGTTTCATTGTTCGATGGAGATTTCAAAACCTCCAGATGTCTTAATGAGAAGGTCATGCAGCTCGTTGATCTGGTTACCTGGCCTAGATTGTGAATAATGTTTTACATTTAATTGTCTCATTAAGTTTCAGAAATCAATCGCATTTACATGGTCCATTAAATTACACTGTGATTAAAATCTATAAATTGCTTAATTAAATAATAATAACAGCAGACAGACCGTTTGTCAATCCACTGCTGGTTGAAGCAGATTAATTGACAATGTAATCTTTTAATTCCTGAAATTTTGAATCTGATTGAGAGTAGAGTTATCGCCTTAATACAAGTTCAGTCTTAACATGTTGTGATCCGTTATTGAAATTAAATGTATTTTTTACCATTGTGTATGTATGAAAATGTTTGATTGCGTTACAATATCAATGCAGTGATGTCCAATTCACTTTATTATGTACTCGCACATACTCAATAAAAAGTGAGCCAGGGTTCTTAATGGTCTGTTAAACTTAGCATGAATGCACCAGCGTTGAGAATTTCAGTGCTTTTATGTATACGCGGTGTTCACAAATATGTCAGATGTAATGCGCTTGAGCACTTAGTGCCTTATGTTTCCATTGTGATTTGAGTATGTATTATAATTCGCAGTAAGACGTTTGAACGGGTGCATCTTGATTGCGTACATTTGAATATCTCACGGTCACAAACGTTGCAAGAGTGAATGAACAGACGTATATATTCGTTGCATCGGATGAGTTTATTTTGTCATTGTGGAGACCATTTTTTTGTAAATAAAAAGCCGGCATTCTCGGTTGTGTACAGTGTGCACGATGTGCCTCGAGATTTAATTTTGCCCAT